CAAATAGGAACCAACGTCAACGTGATCAGACTGAAGAAGTGCTGAGGTCTTTCTATGTAACACCATTCGCCATTGATCAAACAGAAGTCGACATCCTGGAATACATCAAAGAGATTTCGAACGCTAAGAATTCTACACTTCGCTGTGCCAAGTTAGTTCCGAGAAACAAAAACATCGATGAGCTAACATTCATCTCCTTCAAGGTGACGGTATCTGATGACCTGGTTGGTATTGTCAGTGATTCCTTCTACTGGCCCGAAGGCGTTCAGGTCCGTGAATTCGAATCAAAAAACGCGAATCGACCAGTGAGCCTTCAGCAGTCCTAACAAATGAGATGATGATCAGTTCCGAGGTAAGGCCCGATGATGTCTATGAATCGGTTAGTTCACGTTGCATTTATGATACGATCATGAAACACTTTATTGAGAAACCCGCTAGGAACTACATTAAAATTGCCTTCCATAATGTTCGCAGCATTGTTAAAAATATTGATTATTACAGAACCTTCTTTCAGAACTCAAAGCTAGCTGTGTTGGGGATTGTTGAGTCTTGGTTGAAGTCTTCAATAACAAACAAATTTGTTGAGTTAGATGGCTACAACATTGTTCGTTCTGATCGACTTTTAGACAATAAGAAGCAAGGCGGAGGAGTTGCTTTCTATCTAAACAGTAAAGCAAAGTATAAGGTTCTTGCTAAGTCTGATGCTGGTGATGAAATTGATTACCTTTTTGTTAAATAAGTTCATTCAAAGCTTGTGTGTGGCATTGTCTACAGACCTCCAGATGTAAGGGTTTCTAAACTTAACAGTATTTTCGAACTTGTGCTGGAAATCAGTGCTACTGAATTGATGGGCGATTTCAATATAAATTTGTGTGACACTTCTTCACCTGTTACAAACAAGTTAATCGATATGGTTAAATCGCTTTCTGTTAAAATTTTACCTCTTTCCCCCACTTGTCATAAATCAGGCTGCAGTTCATCTTTTATTGATTATGCACTTGGAAATTGTACGTTTAACGTTAGCAACATCTTTCAATCTTCTATAGGAGGTGTTAGCGATCATGATTTGATCTGCTTCGATTACAGAGTCAAGGTACCTCATCAACCTCCAGCTGTGTATCGGACAAGAGAATATCACAAGATAAACACCGATAGTTTAATAGCTGACTTGCAAAGGTATAATCTTGATGCTATTTATTACTGCAACTCAGTTGATGGAAAATTACAAATTTAAAACGATATGCTTTATTCTGTCATTGATGATCATGCCCCGTTGAAAATGAAAACTACTGTTGATCCTAGTGCTCCATGGATTAATCCATACATCAAAAATCTCTTCCAAAAACGATCTGAAGCTTATGATAAATGGAAAACAGATAAACCCAGCGCAGCTAAATGGAATGCTTTTGCAAGGTTGCGAAATAGGTCAAACCGTGTAGTGAAACAATCTAAGTACACTTACTTCTCTCGGCTCCTTAACCCTTCTCTTTCTTCCAATAAACTTTGGGAGAATATAAAACGTTTGGGCCTTTCAAAAACTCAAAGTAGAGCAGGTGGTGGTGATGTGTGTAACATCACTGCCAAATCATTGAATCAGTTCTTCATGTCAAATCAAGCTCCTATTACTTTTGATGAACAATCTGTGGCTGGTAGGTCCTCGTCATCTTCTTTTTCATTTAGGAATGTAACGAATGAAGAAGTCCTGACCGATTTCAATTCCGCGTCCAGTGATTCTATCGGCTTTGACCAGTTACCACTCAGCGTTTTGAAAAAAAAACTCTTGTTGTCATTCTTCCTACCATAACGAACTTATACAAACACATTATAACAACTTCAACATTTCCACAGCTTTGGAAGATAGCACGTGTTGTACCTATTGGCAAAATTGATAATCCAATGAACAACAAGGACTACAGACCGATTAAACGGCGCCGGTGGTGTAGTGGTAAGCGTGATTACCTCTCACCCCAGCAGGCCTGGGTTCAATCCCAGTTGGCGCCGCCGGGATGTTCTGAGGCATAACATCTCTGATCACGCCTTCCTTCGGATGGGAAGTAAAGCCGTTGGTCCCCGGTTCATGAGTTGATGGGTCGATAGGTAGGGTCCAGGTGTGGGAGCTGCCTTCCTGGCACATCGGTAGCATTGGTGCTCAGCACGGAAAACAAGATCGACGGAAAAAACAAACCAAAGAAAAAAAAAAAAAATACAGACCGATTAGCAACCTACCTGCTATTTCCAAAATTTTTGAAAGTCTTCTGACTAAACAATTAAACGATTATCTGATTCATAATACGTTACTATGTCCTTTACAATCTGGTTATCGTAAACATTGCAGTACTACAACAGCTTTGATTAAAATAGAAAACGATATAAAAACTGCGCTTGACAAACGTAATCTAACAGTTCTAGTTCTTTTGGATTTTAGTAAAGCTTTCGATTCTATCAATCATAAATTGTTATGTCGGAAGCTATGTAGTTTTTTCTATCTCGATACAACTTCTGTAAACTTACTTTCCTCATATCTTACGGGACGAACGCAATATGTTGAATTTAATAATACAAAATCGGAACTTTTGAATGTAACAAGTGGTGTGCCACAAGGATCTGTTCTAGGTCCACTGTTATTTTCCATGTTCATCAATGACCTTCCAAGTATTTTAAATTATTGTGCTTACCATCTCTATGCTGATGATGTTCAGTTATACCTCTCTGGTAAAGTCGAAAATTTACAAAATATCGTACGTTGTGTTAATTCGGATATTTCAAAAATTTGTGAATGGAGTGTAACAAACGGCTTACAATTAAATGCAAACAAAACTCAAACAATCATATTTAAAAATAGATCAGTAAACATTTCAGATGCTTCTTGCATTATGATAGGTTATACCGCAATAGCATATTCAGATGTTGTTAAGAATTTGGGAATAACAAAGGACTCGCATCTGAACTGGACTGCACAAGTAAACAGTGTTTCAAAAAAAAGTATTTTTTGGTCTGCATTCATTAGTGCTGTTGAGAGACTGTACTCCTAAACATATTCGTTTGAAATTAGCTCCAAGTCTTCTAGTTCCGCTATTTAACTATGCTGATGTTCTATATACATCTACTTCCTCCAATAATACTCGAAAATTACAACTTGCATTTAATGCTGTTACAAGATATGTTTATAAAATTCCTCGCTTTGAACATATTGGCATCAATCACAAGGGGATTTTAGGTTGCACTTATGAAAATTACGTGAAGCTGAGAGTATGTACCCAAACTTACAAAATTCTGAATGAAGGTCCTGTTTATTTGCATAATTTCTTTTCATTTTTGAGGTCATCTCGCTCAAGAAATTTAACACTCGCTAGATGTCGTACAGAGATCTACAGATGCTCTTTTCATCAACGTGCTGCGAAATTATGGAATGAACTGCCTGTGAATTGCAAACAAGCTGCCTCATACGTATACTTTAAAAATCAATGTTTTCGAGACGGAACTGATCATCTCTCAGTGTAGTACGAGCTTTGAGAACACATGTGGTTATTTGTACTACGCGTAATACTTGTATTAAATAAATAAATAAAAAAAAAAATAATATGCACACAAAATTACATAAATGCACATAGCTCTAATATCTTGAGATGATATTTATTTTCAATTTCAGTCTAAAACCATAAGTTATACACACAAAGGAAATTAAGTGGAGTCAAATTGATTATAAAGCTTACATTTATTTTTATGCATGTTAAGAAACAATTTCACAAGAAGTTTAAATGACATTATATCCATATATTTGCAAAGCACAAGGGAAAATTCATTGCTCAATTCAATTCCGAGACCCGAACAATCAATCTCAACATCATCCAGTTGGAAAACGAAACGAACCGAACTCGTTAAGACGCCAAGCACCTCAGAGAGGAGTTGTACATTTTCCACAACGCTGCACTTTTCTTCGCATCGTTTCTCCAACGACAAACACGACGCTGACGACGACGACGACGCTGACGACGACGACGACGTTGACGACAAATAGCTTCGTCTTTGCCACCCACCGGCCCACTCGCCTTCCTTTAGCTACGGTTCCGGTCCAGTGTTTGCTCAAACATTTCGTTACTGTTAGTTTTCCGCCCGGTTCCATAATGAGCTAACAAGCAACAACTACCACTTTGTCGACTTCGCCGTCGCTCGTCCACTTACCACCCAGCAGCACCATCACCGCTGAGCCTATGTATACGGCTAAAGGACACCCAAAAGAAGACGAATTATGAAAAAAGTGGCAGAGTGGTCCACGAGTTGAGCAGAAGCAGCTCAAGGCAGACAGAGCGAGAGAGGGTGGTCTATAAAGGTGCTACAGCAGCTGCAAGGGGGCGTCACCACCCGGCCTACTATGCTAGGACGGGAAATCTGTGATTGCTCTCGCTCTCTGTTCAGCGTAAAAAGGCCAGACACCAATACACCGACAGAGCCGTGCTGTAGAGCGCCATAATATGCCACCATGCGACGATGCGAGGCATCCTTCTTAGCTCTCTATTTAGGTATATGCTTTCACAATCTGCTTGCCATGACTAGGGGTGCTGTGCCGGGTGCCGAGAAGATGTTTGTACATAGCATTAACGCTATGTATGGCTGTGTCCTTTTTCCGGCTCGTTGCTCATTGTCGGTTGGCAGGATGAATGGCTCGGAGGATTGCGTGCTCGAAGCGAAGCAATCCAAAGGGAAATCCTCAGAGCGCAGGGTGGTGAGCAGGCAGAGGGATGTTTTTACCTTTTTATGCTCGGTGCCTTTTTTACTGCTGCTACCTTTCTGTCAGTATGGGTCTATGTGCTACGATTATGCGCAAATTCGGTGTGCACTGGGATGCTTTGTGTATGTAGTGGTAGGAAAAGAAGAGCACACCACGAGGGCAGCAAACTGGAAGGTTACGATCTAAGGACTCTGCCAGTCACCGTTCAAAAGCTCAAAAAACATCGAACGGTGAACATCGTGCGCTCTCGCTCTCATCCGTGGTCTGTGTTCGATTCAGGTGGAGATTTGCAATTTTCCCTCGACTCGTATTGTGTGGATCGTAGAGAGGACTGACCGAGATTTGCTCGAGTACTATCAGTGGGATTGTTGTTTGCTCAGACCAGTTTCAGCTGTCGAACCGGTTGCATTCCCGGTAGCCATTTGTCCGCACGGAAACGGAAAAGTGAACTACTGTTTATGTGTAAGGATATGGATAGAAGCGTAGCGCGTTATAGTTGAGTGAATCGGTGTGTGGAATGAGTAAAAGATTGCTCAAGTGCTCTGACAAACAAACACGTTGTGCTGTGCATGTAGGAAGCTCACAACATACGCACTGGATAACAACACGATTGAAGTGGATGAGAGCAGTTTTGTGTGAAACCCCGGCAGCCTCTTGTCTTGTAATCAATTGAATTAATTTCCCTAATTCAGTTTTGCCACCCGCATTTGGCACCTTCCCGGCCGAAGAACATCTTAAAGACGAGTTGAGTGAAGTGTTGTTGTATGTTGCTGCTACGTATGTAGGGCGTATGAACAAAGTGAACGTAAAACGGATGACTCCGGCAGAAGAAGGAAACTTTTAATTTAAGTGATTTTGAGTTTTAATCTGTGGTGACGGAAAGCTGGAGGCGGTTCTGCTGGCGAACAAGGATTGCTTCCAACGTTGCTCGAGGGGCACTTGATCAACGCCACAAACGGGTCCCGGTAGTGCAACATGGTTTATTTCGTAAGTACTTTGTTTACATGTTCATGCTGGGAATCGACTAGATAGAGTTGCAGGCGACAATTTTTAAGAATAATGAACCTTCTAAGAGATAAAGGAGAAAAATGTTCCTCGTACTTACTCGCTCATACGTTGGGTACACAATTTTGTAATCGTTGTTTTTTATGTAGTTATTACAATTATAAATTTCAAGGACCATACCACTACAAAATTGAAGTAAGGGTTGATGCATACATTATGTCACGCTCTAAGGGGGGAGGGGAGGTCTATGATTTTGTGACAAGCAGTGCATTAGGTATAGGAAAAACGTCACGATAGGGGGGAGGGGAGGGGGTAATTTTTGCTCGATTTAGCATGACATAATTAATGCATGGACCCTAATCGTATAAATTTGAATTCTGAATTCGTTACCTCAGCTTATATTGATTCAAGCATAGCAAAGAAACAAAAAGTTTGATTTTAAATAACTGTTCCCGATAACACAGAACAGTTGTCATCAATTGTTTATTATTGAGGATGATCCTGGTATTAATGGTTAGCATCCATTTCTCTGTCGAGTTCTAAAGATTCCAATTAAGTCATCTTAATTAAAATTATGTTCCCTACACTACAACTACTGAATGTGTTGTTGCTATGAGAATAACAAACAAATCTGTTTTTATTACGATTATTTTTGCAGCAATTAAAGAGAGATAAACTAGCTGAAAAATGACAAATTAGGGTAAAGGTCAGTTAAGTGATGCAAACAAGGGGATTTCATGGAAATTTCACCCCTCCCCTATAATTTACAATAGGAGCAAAGTATCATTTCAGCCCCCTCTCTTCGAATAATAGTCTTTTTTTAGCTAGTTCGTTTATTTACTATGCTCCGTTTGAATAATAGTCATTTATTTTTTAAATTTTAGCTTTGAAGTATAAAAGACGTAATTCACAAAATAAAAACTGCATTTTCTGGCTGTGGAAGCTGCTATTTCCAACGTAAAATTTCAATCTAACCGTCAATTCAAATTTAATTTTGAACGTTTTGTTTAGCATCGGGAAAAACCGGGAAATAAACGGGAATTTTATTTAAGTTCTAATTTATTTTGAAAATTTATCCAGGTCTAGTATTTTAGAAATTTTTTTCATTGTTTTAACATCTAGATGATTCCATGAAGTGACAGGTTTCCGAAATGTTTTGATCTAGATCTTTGGATCATGATCTTTAGAATTTGTCCAAGTCTGAGATCACGAACAAACGGTGGTTACCCTTTCTGCTTACATAGCAGAGGGTCGGGAGTTCAATTCCAGGCCCGTCCCCTTATTTGCAAGTTTTCACCACGCCTTATTCTATCTCCATTGCTATAAAAATCTGCCAGTAACGTTTACCAAATGTATCCTATGGCTTAATCATCCCCACTAACAAACCACCAAACTCCTGCGACACTTATGAGAGGTCGTAGAGTTATCTACATCTCTCTTAAGTAAGTGTGCAACTAAAAATCCTTCCCATCCCCATCAGTTGCATGAACGTGACCAGGACAGTTCTCGATTGTTGGAGATAGTGCTACTTCCAACTAAGAGGCCCACATCAATCCTAAATCTCGGTCAATACGGGTAAGGCCGAGCAAAGAGAAGCGAAGAGGCGAGCAAAGTGTTGAATCGAATGTAAGGAATAATATAAATAATGGGAATTTCCATTATTGATATTATTCCTTACACTCTTTACAACGCTTCACTCGCTTCTTCGCTCCGCTCTCACTAAGGAATCGGCCTAAAGGACGGTAGTAGCAATACTCTCAAACGATGGTCTGAAGTCCAAGATCTAAAAGTTTATTGAAGATTTGGATTTTTCAAACTTTTCTATCAGTTTTTTTTTTTAATATTCTGGGGTTTTCAATATTTAACAAAGCCTCAGAGACCTATAAATGTGGTCAAGTTAAAAATCTTCACTTTTTTTCATCTGGGATCTTGCAATTACTTCTAAATCCAGGATCTGCGATTGAAGTCTGAAATTGGGGCTTAAACTATTTAATTTAATCTATGTTATCAAAAAAAAAGAAATCCTTAGTCTTATAATTTTGAAAATGGTTCAAAGAATGGTAAAAAATCTTGAAAATGTTTCGAAGTCCAGAGTCTAGAAGAATTTTCTCGAGATCTCGACAATTTCCTGATTTCTGTCTCGATATCCAGTGTTATTTAATAAAATAGCTCGTGATATAGTTTTTTTTAAATCGCTCAATCTCAAAATCATTAAAAATTAGGAGTAGGATTGTGGAAATTCAATTTTGTTTAGTATTAATTTTTTGTTGTCAAATCTAGCTGTTTTCATCAATCTTGTAAAACTATCATGGAGAAAAACCTGGATTTTAAATTCTTAAATCTAGTGGCCTGATTTGAGCATTGTATTTACATACCATTTATGGTATTTATGATAAACGCTCATCAAATTGATCGACGTCATATCTCAATTACCGCGTTATCACAATCTAAATAGCTTTATCATCAATTTAATTACCAACATTGAATCTCTCCATAGTCTAAGTTTCAGTTTATTCCAAAGCAGCCCGTTTACTATATTTTACAACCAACTTTGACTATCGATATACCTCTCAAAACACATCATAAGAATATCACTGTGCTAGATATATCACATGCAAATTAAAAAAAAATAGATATCTTCACTTTAGTATTACAGTAATTCACGCTAATCTACCTTTTTACAAGACGGTTCAAGAATGACAAAAGGTAGTATTCCAACCATTTTGTAATATGAACTATTTTCCAATACATCTTGAATCCCAGTACTTTCATGAAGTTGGCGCTCTGCTTGGGGCACATATAAACCTGTCTATTATGCTAAATGTTAGTCAACTTTTGCACTTTACCATACAGTCAACTCCTAGGGGCATCCCACTCTAAACTTTGTATTTCTCGCATTTTATTAAGCGCTAGTTTGTTACCACCGTTGCTAGACAGTTTTCATTCGATTATTTATCCGGTGTCATCTGGGATTTTGTGTGTGCGTATTTAGAAAAATCAACTATTATTTTTCATTCAAAGTGTTTTTATGTTACTTCATACGCGAAGTTAGCGATTTTCAGAGTTGGTTGGAAATGCTATCTAAAATGAAGCTTTAGTGTGATGATTTATTAGCTAGAGAATGATCTTTAGAAGAGGGTAGGTGGATAGTTCCGTTAGAGTACGGCAGTATGAAAATTGACTAGAAACTGAAAATGAGCGAAGGGCCATTAATGCGACAGTTTTTTTTAAAGTCAAACGCACATCTTTTGCCTAACCCAAACGCACATCTTTTGCCCAACCGCGTACACCGTATGGCAAAAGATGTGCGTTTGACTTAAAAAAAAGCTGTCGCGTTAATGGCCCTTCGCTCATTTTCAATTTCTAGTCAATTTTCATACTACCGTACTCTAACGGAACTATCCAGCTACCCTCTTCTAAAGATCATTCTCTAGCTAATAAATTATCACCCTAAAGCTTCATGTTAGCATTTCCAACCAACTCTTTTATTTTTCAATTCATCCCTTTTTTGCTGTTTCCTTTCCTTTATTTTAAAATAGATTGAAACTAGTATTAATATGCTTTAGTACGTGATTAAACGTAACGGAATATACAACAACAATCTACATTAGTAAACGGTCACGATTAAAAAATTCAAAACTTAAAATACTAACAAATACTTAAGAATACTTATCAGATATTTGGACATACTTAATTGATACTAGAGCTATAGTTTAGAGTGGGATGCCCCTAGGTCAACTTTGTCTTACTCGATCAGTCCCTATCGATTGCAGTGGAACGTCAAAATGCATGAACTGAGAAATCAATTGTTAAAGACAGCCTAAAGATCTTGCAATTAGTGTTGCGATCTGCAGTGATCGCGAAATTTTGGAATATTTTTAATAAGAAATGTTTGTGTAGTTCAAAAATTTTAACAGCATGTGATTCAGTCAACTAACAATAAATTCGAAACAACTAGTGGAATATCATGGTGAAACCCTTTATCTAATCTAATCTAATCTAATCTAATCTAATCTAATACAAACGTAGCCAGTACGAGAAAGCATCCTGGAAAATTATTAAGTTAAATGAGGTTTAATCATTTTTCTTGTCTAATTTATGTTTACAGCATATATGAGACATGATAAAGGGTTATACGGTCAAAATTTGGTCAATATCAACTTGACGTATTTCTTTCAATTTTGCATTTAAAAAACCTGAACACCCCTCATTTTGAAGGTGTGTGTGTGTAGAATGTTGCTCCTATTTTGATTTTGGAATTCACTCTTCAGTTGTCAAAATGCCGTCCAAGCAAGAAGAGCAGCGTATCAAAATTTTGCTCGCGCATCGCGAAAATCCGAGCTACTCGCACGCAAAGTTGGCAAAATCGCTAAAAGTTGCCAAATCAACCGTTACAAATGTAATTAAAGTGTTTGGGGAACGTTTGTCGAGACGACAAAGAGAGTTGCCGGTAGTTTCAAGCGAAACCCTAACCTCTCTCTCCGAGATGCCGCAAATAAGCTGGGTGTATCGTCTACAACCGTGCATCGAGCCAAAAAACGAGCCGGACTATCGACTTACAAGAAGGTAGTGACTCCAAATCGCGATGATAAACAAAATACGACGGCCAAAGCGCGATCCCGGAGGCTGTACACGACGATGCTGACGAAGTTTGACTGCGTGGTAATGGACGACGAAACCTACGTCAAAGCCGACTACAAGCAGCTTCCGGGACAGGAGTTTTATACGGCAAAAGGAAGGGGAAAGGTAGCAGATGTTTTCAAGCACATGAAACTGTCAAAGTTCGCAAAGAAATATCTGGTTTGGCAAGCCATCTGTACCTGTGGCTTGAAAAGCAGCATTTTCATAGCTTCCGGGACTGTCAACCAAGAAATTTACGTGAAAGAGTGTTTGAATAAACGTCTGCTGCCTTTCCTGAAGAAACACGTTTGTTCCGTACTGTTTTGGCCGGATTTGGCATCTTGCCATTACGGTAAAAAGGC